ATTCTCGGGTCTCTGAGGCCCTGTTTAGATGGGACTAAAACTTTTTTATTAAATGTTTAAATACTAATTATAAATATTAAATATAGACTATTAATAAAACCCATCCATAATTTTAAACTAATTGGCGAGACGAATCTATTGAGCCTAATTAATCTATGATTAGCCTATGTGATGCTGCAATAAACATTCTCTAATTATGGATTAATTAGGCTTAAAAAAATTTGTCTCGCAAATTAGCTTTCATTTATGTAATTAGTTTTATAAGTAGTCTATATTTAATACTCTAAATTAGTGTCTAAATATAGAGACTAAAGTTAAGTCCCTGGATCAAAACACCACCTCACTGGGTTGGGAAATTATTACTACTTTATGTGTCTCTTTTTTAAAAAAATGTTCAGATTCATAACAGTAGATTGTGTCTGATATAGTATTAGCTATGTTGTTAGTTTCTAGAACAGAGGAAGTAAAAACTTTTATTTGTCATCCATTATGATATTGCTTGTGATTCCTACTACACTCCCTCTACTGAGGTGTATTATTTAGATATTTAATATTTTCATGTTTATCTATAACCTCTCTAAATCACATACTACTAGAAAAACAATTTTTACCAACATATTTTTATTTTCTCAGGTGGAGAGAAAAAAATACTCTCTTATAACCGTTTACAAAAATAGAGATTTAGCCTCGCCTGGCAAAATCAATTTTTATGTTTGGAGTCTTAAGAGATCCGCCTATAAAAACATTTATTTTCATAACGGACGTCCGAATATATGATTTTTGCAAGCCGTCCGTAAAATATGGGGATCCTATTAGGTCATGGCTCCTCTCCTCCATCCCCTCTTCTCCCTCAGCTCTCTCTCTCCCTGCACCTACTCCCACTACCTCACACTCCTTCCCCACCTCCATCCCTATCCCCCCACCATTGCCTCCAGCCGATAATGACGACAACGGCACAATGCTTGGATCCGCCACCGGCCACGACGACGGCAGCAATGGCGAAGATGACGGCTGCGACTGGCTGCGACGATGACAATGACGGTGCTTGGACAATAGCAATGGGATTCGCTTCCTGCTGGCCTCGGGTGCATGGATCTGCCGTTGGCCATCCTCGGGAGCGCGGATCTGCCGTCGGCTGTCCTCGGGCGCTTGGATACGCCGGTGGAAGGAGTGAGTGGTGGCGGCTTTGACCGGCGGTGGCGTCAGGAGGTCAGGGTGGGGGCTCTCAGGTTGCGGCAGGGCTTCGACCGACGATGAATTTTCTGCTTTATGATGATATCTAATGAATTTGTTAAATGAATTTGAGTATTGTGATGAGTTCGTTGAATGGATTTGGAGATTGTGATAAATTTGTTGAATGGATTTGAGGATTGTGATGAATTTGTGAATGGATTAGGAGGTTTTTGAATATGCTCTTATAGGAATGTTTGAATTTTCTGGGTTTTTTTGTGGTCTTTAAATTTGCTCTTTACGCGGCCGTTTGCCCGCCTACGGAAATACACTAGTTTCGCAGGCCTTTGCCCTCAGGCGGTTGGGCTGGCCGCCTGCAAAAAGCTGATCCCACTACTACAACACCGATTGTCCCGGGCGGGCGAGCCAATTTTCGCGTGTGGGTGGGCGGTAGAGATTGGTGAATAAGATCTCTTAATCACCCAGTAGTCCCTTAAAGCCCACATGACGATTTAATCTAGCTATTCCATTATTATAATAGATTATACGAGAGAAAATAAAGTCCAGTGGTGGTACTTACGATTGTTTAGGCTTGCTAAGTACCATGCATGTAAAAAATGTTGGCTACCAAAGCATAAGTATATTTTGGTAATGCCAAAATATTTTGGCAACCCAGCTATGTGTGGTATCGGTGAATTTTGGTAGCAATACTATTCAGAGTGCAGATAACTTATTAGGACATTTATTTTGCAGGCTTCGAACCAAAAATGGTCCTTAGAGCATCTCCAGCAGGGACCTTAAACCCAGTCCCTAAATAAATTTTGAGGGTTAACATAAAAAACTAGATCCAGTAAAGACCCTAAACCTAGCCCCCAAAATAATAAGGCCCTCAGATCCACCCCCAAGCCCCTAGTCCTGGGGGCTCCGAGCATAGCCCCATCGATATTTTTCTGGCGCCAAACGACAATTCACTTTCACGCTCTCGTCACATTCCCGCACGGCACCACGATGCTGGATCTCATCTGGGCTCCGGCACCAGCGGCCATCGATTCCCCTGCACCTCCGGCAAGATTGGCACAAAAAGGTGAGAATTTCCCCTACCTCTGTCGCCCATCATCCGCAAGGTCCTCCGGCCGCCGCCCTCACGAGTCCGCCGTCCACACAGTGTCGCACGACCTCCCGCCGTCGGTCCGCACGTTGCTGTCCACACACCACCCCGCACTACCATGGTCCTCCTGCTGCACGGCCATCGTCCCTACCGCTGTCCGCCCGCATGCCACTATCCGCTCGCCGGCAGGAGAACCGGTGGCTGCCCACCCCCACGCTGCCCCATTGGCCCAACGGATGGAGGGCCACCGCCTTCGCACTGCCGGAGGGCCACCGCTCCAAGCCAGCCTACACGCCGCCCTATGCTCGCCGCTCTCTGCCCCCTACGGCTTGTTTGGCACCTTGAGGGAATGGGATTGGGAGTTTACACGAGGGAATTGATGGTGAGATTAAGATGGGAATTTGGTTTTTATTCCCAATATCTTGTTTGGCAGAGGTGGTGGAAATTGACAGGGAGTTTAGTTGGAGATTAGGTCATTAATGAAAATGGATGGCTGAGATTTGTTTAGGCAAAGCAAAGGAGAAATTCCCTCTCAATTACCACCCCTACCCAGGTATTGAAAAGGAGGGAGTTCCTTCCTCAATTCCCCATCCCCATCCCACCAAAATTCCCTTGTCTCCTGACCAAACAAAACAAATAATAGCCCCATCCCTCTAAGCTCCCAATCCCTCCTAAAAACTCCCTCCAACCAAACGGACCGCTAGAGTTTTCTGGATTGAACTAATCTCTGTGGTAGGAGTACTACTAGCAGAGAAGTATTATACTTGACCACTTTTTGTGTTAGACATTGATTTGTTTTTATATATTTTTTTTAGAACTGTAGGAGTAGTAGACTTCTTCGGTGGTAGAGAAGAATCTCAAACACTGTGCTTGTACTAGTAGCACTGCATTGGATCGTGGGACTGTACATACTACTAGCACTGCACTGAACTGTCGTTGCTATGGATCACTAGGTGTTTGGATCCAGGGACATAACTTTAGTCTATGTATTTAGACATTAATTTAGAGTATTAAATATAGACTACTTATAAAACTAATTATATAAATGAAAGCTAATTTGCGAGATAAATTTTTCAAGCCTAATTAATCCATAATTAGAGAATGTTTACTGTAGCATCATATAGGCTAATCATGAATTAATTAGGCTCAATAGATTCGTCTCGCGAATTAGTCCAAGATTACGGATGGGTTTTATTAATGGTCTACGTTTAATATTTATAATTAGTGTCCAAACATCCGATGTGATAGGGACTTAAAAGTAGTCCCATATAAACAAGGTCTTATGTAGCACTTCTTTTTATAGGCTTTGAGTCTTAAATATATACTCCGTACTGTGTATTATTATGAATATAATTGTCTATTTTGTTATTTGAGATAGTGGAAATTAAATTTTCTTATTAATTTACAATATTGTGATGGTAGTGATTATTTTATATGGATTTCTACGATGATGATGATCTCCTTGCTCAATGGTGGGAGCAGGAGGAAGCGTCTGACGACGATGACTACTATATTGCAGCTGCTCTTCTTACTGACATAGAGCATAAGAGAACCAAAAGGAAGCATCGTGGTTCAGTCATGGGTCAAGAGATAATTTACAGGGACAGATTTGCTGGCAATTTGCGCATAGTGGCTGATTATTTTGCAGATCCTCCTATATATAGTGCAAAATTATTTAGAAGGAGGTTCAGGAGGATGTCAAGGGAGCTCTTTTTGCGCATAGTGGCTAGTGTGGAGGCACATGATGACTACTTTAGGCAAAGACCAAACGCGGTGGGTCTTCTTGGTGCCACTGCATTGCAAAAGGTGTATGGTGCAGTTCGCATGCTTGCATATGATATTCCAGCCGATAGTCTTGATGAAGTTGTGAGAATTTCAAAAAACACCATGATAGAAGCTTTCAAACACTTTGTCAAGGCTGTGGTGGATGTGTTTGCTGACCAATACTTGAGGGCACCAACAGCTGATGACACTGCAAGGTTGATGGCTATGAACACTCCAAGAGGGTTTCCAGGGATGCTAGGTTGCACTGACTGTATGCATTGAAGGTGGAAGAATTGCCCAACAGGTTGGAAAGGGCAATACTCAGGGCATGTGGATGGGCCAACCATGATTCTTGAAGCTGTTGCATCTAAAGATTTGTGGATTTGGCATTCCTTCTTTGGATTACCAAGTTCTCTTAATGATATCAATGTCGTACAGAGATCACCACTCTTTCAAAGGCTTACTTCAGGGACAGCTCCAGAGCTAGAGTTTATGGTGAATGGTAAGAAATACACTATGGGTTACTATCTTGCTAATGGCATATACCTTTCCTGGGCCACTTTTGTGAAGACCATTTCCAATCCACAGGGTAACAAGAGAATCCATTACACAAAAGTTCAAGAAGGAGTGAGGAAGGATGTTGAAAGAGCATTTGGTGTTTTACAAGCCCGCTTTGCAATGGTGAGGGGTCCTGCTAAATTTTGGGATACCGAGACCCTATGGTACATAATTAATGACAGCTTGTGTAATAATGCACAACATGTTCATTGACAGTGAGCGAGATGAAGATGTAGACTTCGATTATGATCAGGGGATAGTGAGGTGTTGAGGAAAGAGGAGTACCAACGACGCAATAAATTTGGTTAGAGAAGTTTCTACAGATACATAAAGAAATTGAAGACCGACAGGCACATGAGCAACTTCGAGATGATCTTCTGGAACATTTGTGGGCGCTTCATGGTGCTCGATAGTTTGTTTCGTTGCATTTTCTGTCAACTATCGGTTGTGTTCAATACTTTCTTGTAGGACATGTCATTTTCATGTTAAAAATTTTGAATTCAAATTTGAATCATGGTGTTTAAAATTGTAATTTTCAATATGGTTGAATTTCATGTGCTAGAATTATTTGTGTTTAAATTATTGTGATGTTAAAGTAGACACAAACATACAATTTATACTAAAATAAAAGAGAAAAAGAAATAGGGGCTAAAATATGAGAGCTACTGCTAGAGTTAATGATATTTTTAGTGTCCTAAAGAATTAGTGGCAGCCCCCATTTGATCTTTAGGGCTCTAAAGTAGGGGCTGCTGCTGGAGATGTCATTTTGCTACAAGCACGCTGATCAGATCACACCTGCGATGACGTCGGCGAGGTACGTCCTGAACCTCCCCATGTGCTCCGGCGGCAGAGCAATGCCCACCTCGATGCCGCCGGAGCCGCCACGGCCCTCCGCCACCGACATCGCGCCGGTCTTCGCCACGGACGCGATCTCCACCTTCGCTGGCGTCCCGAACCCGAAGTCGACGTCGTACACGCGGAACCTCGGCGACCCAGCCACCGAGAACGGCGCGCCGTCCCTTCTGGCCTCGACGATGCGCTCTGGGTACCTCTCCCAGTATCCGGTCTCGCCGTGCACCGCCTCGTCGATGGCGGCGGCCACCGCGGAGCACGCCGTGAAGACGCCGTCGGTCACGGTGGCGGTGGCCGCCGCCTTCCTGGGCATCGAGGCGTAGCACGGGCCGACGCAGTTGCCGAAGTACCTGCTTGGGACGCGGCCCTCCATCCGCCGCCGGTGGTCGGTGACGAAGAGGAAGTAGGCGCGGCCGCCGCCGTCGTCGTGGCCGCCGTCGTTGTTGTGGCCATGTGTAGCTCGGAGGTGGCACAGCCACATGACGCCGTACGTCGCGACGATGGACGTGCACCGAGGCGGCGGGACGACGCCGCGGCGTGCCGCCTCGCCGGCGACGGCGTCCTTGATGCTCTGCAGCTGCGCTGACGACAGCGCGTACGTGGCGACGAGCCTGTCCATGGCGTCGGGCGAATCGAACCCTTTCTGAGCCCTGGGCGCGGCGAACAAGTCGTGGATGTCCTTGCGGTCAACAATGAAGCTGTGGTCCATGACTGGTGGCTCCGGCGGGACATTTCCGGCGGCGGCGCAGGCGGAAGCCGCCCAGGTGTGGAGGAAGTGCGTCGAGCTCGCGCCGTCGCAGGCGGCGTGGTGCACGGTGACGCCGAGGGCGAGAACGCGCGGCGCCGCCGGCCGCAGGCCCAACAACACGGTGGCCTGCACGGCGAGCACCGCGCCGCCCCGCGGGAGCGCCGGCACTAGCGGCGCAATCGTGGCAACTTCCCTGGGATCGTCCGTGGCAAGCTCGTCGACGCCGGCGCCGTCGTGCTCGGCGACGGTGAAGGCGACCGCGTCGCCGGGCTGGTAGAACAGCTCGTACCGGTCGGTCTTCCCGGGCGCGAGGCGGATGCGGCCGGCGAGCGGGTAGAAGGCGCGGAGCGCGCGGGACAAGGAGTCGGCGAGGTGGGACAGGACGCCGTGGACGGCGGCGCCGGGGGCGAGGCGGTAGAGGAAGAGTCGCTCGACGGGCTCGACGGGCTTGAGCGGCAGAGCACGTTCGGAGAGCGCGTCGGCGTCATCGCCGGTCGACGACGGCGTGACGTGCTCGGTTCGGAGGACGCGGAGGCGGCCGCCGTGATCGTGAGGTGGCGCTGCCATTGCCGCCTCGTAGCTTGTAGCTAATTAAGCAATGTGCGAGAGAGGCCGATCAGAGGACGAATGCTCTCGTCGGATGATCAGAGGCGCGTCGCCACAGCGTGACAGCGGGCACGCTGCTCGGCTCTTCGACTAGTAGTACTTATAGAGTTAACGCCGATCATTATGCCGAAATGTTACCTACGGCAATCTACCGGATGAACGTCCACCCGGTTTTCCATGTAAACTACTAAATGATTATTAAAAATATATTAATATGAAATGTATCACTCAACAAAATTAATAAAATTAATATGTCAGTTCAAATTCGACTTCAAGTTATAACAAAAATAACATATTAAACTCTAACTAGTACTTATCGAAACTGAAGTTGAACTGGTATATTTATGAAGTGTTATATTTCATATTAATCTATCTTGTTATTTTTCTAAAACATTTTTCTATAACCATTTAAGTGGCATGTAATAAACGGGGTAGATATTCACCCGGTATCCACCCTAGTGGTTGAAAAGTTTCCCTACCATACCAACGGCCCATGGTTGTCAATGTTTTTTTTTAACTCAACTTGATTTTGCTGCCCCATCACTTATTTAAAAATTTTTATAATTGATTATGACCATAAATTACTTCTGATGATTATATTATGAGTGATGAAAAATGGATGCTCATATTCATGAAGCTTTTACAGACATCAATAATATAGCATATCTATAACATATTTCTAAGTGTTTATAGTTTTCTTTAGAAAAAAAAGCCAGGCAATCAAAGTCTAAACTAGATTAGTGTCCACGTTAATTTTATTCGAGAATGGAGGAAGTATATATCTTGTAGTAACTCCGTCCCAAAATATAAGAATCTATTACTAGATGAAACATTTTATAGTACGAAAACGTCTCATTCAGTTTTAGGTTTTTACATTTTGGGACGGATGGAGTAACTAATTACTCCCTCTGTTTCTAAATATCTGATACCATTGACTTTATAGTACATGTTTGACCATTCATCTTATTCAAAAACTTTTGTGAAATATGTAAAACTATACATATACATAAAAGTTTATTTAACAATAAATCAAATGATAGGAAAAGAATTCATAATTATTTAAATTATTTTGAATAAAACAAACGGCCAAATATGTTTAGAAAAGTCAATGGCGTCAAATATTTAAAAACGGAGGGAGTAGTCTTTAATACAATTTGAATACGATGTCTTTTCTATACTTATTGAGAGCGGAAAATGTGATAATTAGCAAATTGTAACACATACTCATCTTCTAACTTTAATGTTCTAATTTACCGACTTGAAATTGGCACTTCTTTCTAAGATTATATATGGATGATAGATTTTGTGTAGATCATTAATTTGTGTTTTTTATTCTAAGATTATATATGGATGATAGATTTTGTGTAGATCATTAATTTGTGTTTTCAAAAAACTTTTACATCAGTTTTGTGTAGATATTTAATTTTGTACCATACTTTTTCTTGACATCATCTCTACTATTATAAAAATTAAAGATGTTTTTGCCTGTATTTTGGTACGTCATTCGTATTTGAGTCGGTTTTTAAGTTTGTTTGTTTTTGGAAATACATATCCTTGTTTGAGTCGATTTTAAATTCGTTTTCTTTTGGAAATATAAAAAGAAGTCGTATAAGAAATATCTTTAAAAAAACTCGCATGCTAACATGAGAAGAAAGTCGGACTCCTAATTACAGTTCATTATTTTCTTAAAAAAATATCCAAGCAAATTCCCAAAGTGAATTTCATCCTAGCTAAACCGTATAAAACTAGCATCACCCGTTGCAATGCACGGGCATTTTTCTAGCAATATACAATATTTGATTCTTCACTGTAAACAATTGTCGATATTATATAATTTGATTCTTCACTTTTATTTTGGTCATTTTGCTATATGACTTTGTTTCAATAATTTGAATTTGAATTTCAAATTATGACAACTTCAAACAACATTTATAAATACTAAATGATTTCAACTGAAAAATTCATCAACTACAAAGTTGTATAACTCATCAATATCTATAACTTTTATTTTGATAATTTCTTCATCCGACAAAATGACAGTAACATTGTTCACAAAAAATTACATCTCTCTCTTGTAGTTTATAAACTATATAAGAGATATGTACATTTTGTGAACAATGTTAAAAATAACTTTCTCGGATGAAGAAATGACCCAAATAAAAGTTATAGATCTTGATGAGTTATACCACTTTGTTATTAATGACTTTTCAGTTGAAATCATTTAGTATTTGAAAATGTTGTTTGAGGTTGTCATATTTTCAAATTCAAATTGAAACTGTTCAAAAAAATGTTATATAGAAAAATAACCAAAATAAAAGTTATAGATCTTGATGAGTTATACAACTTTGTTGTTGATGAATTTTTCAGTTGAAATCATTTAGTATTTGAAAACATTGTTTGAAGTTGTCATAATTTGAAATTCAAATTCAAATTATTGAACCAAAGTCATATAGCAAAATGACCAAAACAAAAGTTGTAGATCTTGATAAGTTATACAACTTTGTTATGGGTAATTTTTTTCATTTGAAATCATTTACTACCCGAAAAACTATTTTAATTGTGAGGAAGGAGGCAAAATAGACATCTCGGCGAGAGAGGAACAAAAGGGCTGGGCCGGCGGCCCAAAGAGGGAGAAGAAGGGAGAGAGAGGCTACTGGCTGAGGGAGGGAGAGAGAAACAGCTGAAAAAGGATGAGAGGAATTTTAATTTGTTTTTTATTTATTTTAATAAGTTAAATAAACTTTGTGGTATTAAAATTAGTTACTGAGCACCAAAAATTCATGAAAAATTTTAGAGAATTATTTAGACCACGTAGAATATAAAAAATATTTCCGGCCATGATTTTTAACGGAAAGTTTTAGTTTTCTCATTAATTCACTTGATTAAATTGTTTTAACTTTTAATATATTTTTTTAGAAATGCATTATATAAATTTATGACGTTTGCTTTGTGCCCGTTATGACAAATTAATATTCGTCGCGATGTCCCATTGAAATACTTTATGACGATTTCTAGTTGGTATTAACAACGAACACCTTTTTTTGTCACTAAGCCACCCATCTCATACTAATCGTCATAAAATAAAATGTGCTAGTGACGAATAGCTCCGACTTTACAAGGAATTCGTCACAGAAGATCATATTTCTCGTAGTGTCCAATTATCGGGCCATATCATTACAGTTTGGCTGATTATGGATCTGTGCTTCTCCGACCTAAACAATGCTGCTGCCCACCCGATGAGACAGAACTACGGCTAATAAACCGCTTTCGTGGAACCGATGATGGTCGGTTCGAGGAAACCGATCAGTTTTAGCTAGTTTTCGTGCAGCGATGACAAAAAGCTACAGTTTTTTTTATCGGTTTTAATTATGTTTTGAGAAATCGGTAAGGAGCGGTTTTTAATTTCAAAACAAAAAGCTAAAACAATGAACGAAACACGAGCACCTGCCCTATATCCTCCGATGAGCTAAAGCTCAAAAGCTTCCAGCAATGGAAGTCGCATCTCAGCCATCACCTCCCCCAACACAAAGTTGCATAGACACTTCCACCACCTTGACAATGAGCCAACCGTCGTAACACAATGGGATCAAGCTGCTTAGGACATGTACAATACACCAAGAGTGCTTAGAAAGATCGATACTTAGAAAAAACCGTCTCAAAGTTAAGAACCACAATCTCCAATAATAAAAAAGCGTATTATGGAGATGGGCGTAGACCGAGGTGACAACGCTAGATTGCGTAGACTGAGGTGGCAGCACGAGATGTGCTTGCGAGCTCAATAGATCTCGCCAAACATGGGGTGATGGCAACAGAGATGGAGCTCGGCGATGTTGGCATCGGCTCAACCAATACTGCCTTAGCGTTGACGAAGCACCCATATCCTCCATAGGGCACGAGGGGCTCAACGAGATATTGAGCTCAATCGAGCTGGAGCCGACGCACCGATATGGTGAATAAGACTCTGGCTCGCCACGTTGGTTCACTACAAATATTGTTACTACCCGATTTGTTTCATCTGTTTAGTTTTTATTTATTTATTTGTTCCATTCTCATATTATCTTATTTTCTTATAATTTTATGCATTGTTTTTATTTCTTTGTTTTACCAATCAGGGCAATAGTATACATGGACATCGCATGTTTTATCTGTTATTCAAACAATTAATCATAAAATAATTATAATAAATGAAAACTCGATAGAGATATCGTTGTACAAATATATAGGTTAAAATTAATTCAATTTAACACGGTTAAAAATGAAAAACGTACCCATAGTTGAGGTGTGCAGGAGTTGGACATCTGGCTCTTTCACAGGTGAAGTAATAACGAGCATGCAGGACTCTCTTCAGGGCGATTGATATGTACAGGGAGATAGTAGGTTCAACTGGTACGAATAGTAGGTTCAACTGGTATGAATAGTTTCCGTCCGTCCAGACCATTTTTTATTTCGGATAGGTTCGGTCGGAACTATTCGAAAATTCTCGGATTTAGAAACGATTGGATTTTTTTTCTCAGAAACGAAATGAATACAGTAAGATTACTATCCATCGGAATCGGAAAATGATCAGAATTAACTATCCGGAATATCCACAGACATGGATCAAATTTTAGAGAAAACACGTATATATACATAACTTTTTTATATGGAGTCGGATGAAGACAAACTTTTATAAAAAATGTAGAGCTCAGTGAGATCTACAACTTTCTTGTTGACTATTTTATTATATAAGATCATTTAAGGGTCTAAATATTCATTATAAAATACCATATATGTTTTTACAAAATCTCAGATCTACAATTCAAACGACATCTGATGGAGACGTATTCCATATCAAAGTTGTAGAGCTTAATGGAATTTACCACTTTATAGTTTATAACCTTTGTATTTGAAAATGTTTAAAGTATAAAACAAACACTCTAAGTTTTGAAGATGTGAAATAAAATAAAAAAAGACATCTCCAATTTATACAACAAGAACTTGTTAAGTTGTTTAGTGAAATGGTAAGTAAGCTATACATGTAGTAAAATGTCTTGGGATGAGGGGAACA